AGCCAAAATTCATTCTTGGAACCCGAGCTAGGTTTTTGGAGAACTTCGTGTCTGGGAGCTTTTGAGCTGGGTGTTTCTCCTGCCTGGGACACCTTTCCCTCTTTTCACTTTTTAAGTAACTCCAAGTTCTTCAAAAGCCAGGCAATGTCCTCACTGGTCAGTCTGTTTTCCAAGTCAGGCTTAGCTCGCTTTGGGGTTCCGTGGCTACTATGTCTCCCTCCCTGGTAGCCCTTGTCCCACATAGTCCTTAGCATACAGACCCATCTTCCCACCAGGCCCACTGGAGAACCCATCAAGCTGAATCCATTCATCACTGACTCTCTGGCAGCTAGAACTATAAATAAACAGTAACCATTATGTCAGCAGATGGCGTAATGGTTACATCGCTGGACTCCCATGTAGTTGACCGCAGGTCAAGTCCTGGATACAGTGGCTTAAACCGCACACCAGGCACATGTGTGTGCGTGCCCAGGATCCCAAGAGGAAAATAGAGAAGGGATTGTGGTATGGCCATTCCCCCTGGGCACGGAGATGATTCGAACTTTCTGTCTCTATGTCTATCTCTGTCTCTCCAGAGAGTGCACACACCCTAAAATTTTTCAGAAACAAACAAAGGACCAGCAGTTAGTGTAATGGCTATGTCACTGGACTCCCATGTAGTCGGCTGCAGTTTGAGTCCCGGACCTAGTGGCTTAAACTCACGTCGGGCACATGTATGTGTGTGCCCAAGATCCCGAGAGGAGAATGGAGGAGGAGGGATTGTAATGTGACCATCTCCCCGGGGGTGATTCTCTCTTTCTGTCTCTCTGGTGAGCGCACACGCCCTATAGCAAAAACCTCTCAAAAAAATAAAGAAAACAATAAATGGCCCACAGTAAGTTCCCTAAAAACGTTAATGAAATGAAAGAATTCCTTGCTACTAACATGGTTTTTAATGGGACAGTAATGCTTGGCTGGGGCAGAGAAAGTGTGAAAATGTCAAGAGAAGGAGGAGCTTTGCAAATGGCCAGCGCCAAGACATACTACGTCCTCCGTTCCTGACACCTCTCACAAGGCAGCTCTGACTGGCCGCCGAAAGTGCAGTGCACGCACAGCCGACGCACTGGCCAGAGTGGTATTTAATGGCCTGTCTCTCATCCAATAAAGCAGGGCAAAGTTTAGATGCACCTGCTACCATCTGTTGGTTCCAGGTCCTGGGTTACATCATCTTCGTTTTTATGTTAAACATTACCAGCAATAAAAACAGAGAAGAGGAGCAGAGTGTAGACTCATGTAGGAGGGGGTGCTTTCATGTCTTTCTTTTTTCCTTAGATTTTTGCCATGGGGCACATGGCTCCCTGGAGAAAGAGTTAGGGAAAGTCACAAATCACCTCCCAGAGGACAGTCATGCCTCAGTTCCTTCTCCTCCACTCTCCTTTTGGGATTTTGTGCACACACACACATGTGACTCGAGCCACCAGGTCTGGGATTTGAACGGCATAGTTGGCCATGTGGAGCTGCCTTAACTTCCATGCTACCTGCTGGCCTTGTTTTGATTTTTTCACACTAAATTGACAGAACCTTATTTTCCTCTCAGAAATTCTACAAAACGGAAAACAACAGGAAGACGTCTTATTGAGAAAGACCCCCTCCAACCTGACCATGAATCAGACAAGGAAGAAACAGCCCTCGGAAGAAACTAAACCCCACACTGCATTTGTCAACAAATTTCTCAAGCGCTCACCATTCAGGTCCTCTACAGCTGAAAGAGGGAAAGAGGGTGACCTTAACACAGCTGCCTCCCAGCCCAGCGACGGGACACAGACAGCCGCCTTAGACACTGGTAAACTTCTGGGGAGCGATACTTCTTTATGTTTTAGAACATGTTTTCCCCTAAAGAGACCTTATGGGTTAAACCAAACTGATATACACCTTCGTGTTTATTGTGTTACTTAAATAGTTTAAATTTTACTTTTGAATTATGAAAAGCAATAGGATACTACAGAAAGGTTTGCAGAAAATACTGGATTTCCTTCCATTGTAACCAGTGATCATTTCTTCAAGCTTCTTTCAGTCTTTTTTCACATGAGTGCATTTACTTCAGCAAATCAGCCTGGTGCTGCTATGTTCTAAGTGTTAGAAATACAGCCATGGGGCTGGCAGATGGTGTGGTGGTTAAGGGTGCTGGATTCCCACATGGCCAACTGCAGTTCAAGTCCTGGACCTGGCGGCTTACTTTCTCACTTTCCCTTTCTTTCTCTCTCTGTCTGGTTAAATTTAAAAATAATAAGAAGAAATGGAAATAAATAAATCTTTTTTAAAATACTGAGAATTAATTTTAAAAAGAAAAAAGAGCTATGATTGGATGCAAAAGAACTTTAAAAAAAAAAAAGAAAAGAGAAATACAGCCATGAAAGGGACCAGCAGATGGTATAACGGTTACATTGCTAGACTCCCATGTAATCAACCATGGTTTGAGTCCCAGACCCAACAGCTTAAAACTCTCACCAGGTGTGTGTGTGTGTGTGTGCGTGTCCAAAATCCTGAGAGGAGAATGGAGTAGAAGAGATTGTGGCATGGCCATCCCCTCTGAGGGGTGATTTCTCTCTTTCTGTCTCTCTGTCTCTATAGCGAGCACATACATTGTATAGAAAAATCTCTGAGGACCAGCAGTTAGCGTAATGGCTATGTTGCTGAACTCCCACGTAGTCGATCGCAGCTCAGTCCCAGACCTGGTGGCTTAAAACTCACGCCAGGCGCGTGTGCGTGCGTGCCCAAGATCCCGAGAGGAGAATGGAGGAGAAGGGATTGTGGCATGGCCATCCCCCTGGGGGGTGATTTCTTGCTTTCTGTCTCTCTGTCTCTCTCTGTTTTTCTGGCAAGCGCACAAGCCCTATAGCAAAAACCTCTCAAAAAAAAAGAAAAAAAAAAGAGAGAGAGAGAGAAAGAAAGAAAAAGAAAAGGAAAAATCTCTCTTAAAAGAAAAGAGAAAAGAAATACAGCCATGAAAAACAGATTCTCACGTAAACAAAGGACGAGGTGCAGATATAATTTCAGGTGGTAAGTGACACAAAGGACAATAAAGCTGACCAAGGGGACGGGGATGATGGGATGGGATGCTAGTTCAGAGCCCCGGCCTCCCATGTGGCCTCCGCCTCCCGTGTGGCAGTGCTAACCAGCAGGTGCTACCATGGCTGGGTTTTAAAACATTTAAGACTTTATACCACATACGCAAGAGCCGAGGAATACAAGGAGTTGCCGTGGCCCCTTTCTACTTACAATCATCTACTCAGGGCCAGCCTTGTTTCATCTATACTTACTGTCACTGGCATCAGCTAATTTGGTATCCTATATCAAAAAGAATGTCATCCTGCCTGTAAGTGGATTCCATGTATTTTAAATATATTGTTGTACATAGAAAGTGAAAGTTTACCTCGAGAGGAAAACGATCTCAGTCAGAAAAGTGTTTGTATTTGCTCTAAGCATGATTTGGAACTTCAGAAAAGTGATCGATGAATAACCTTGACCACGATTCAATGAATAGTGCAGAACTAAGCAGCTAGTCACCCTACTGCCAACACTGGCCACCAAGCCATGCCTAGCCTCTCCATTTCCATTCTTCCCCAAATTCATTGGCTCCTGGAGCCTCATTAATTCTGCCCCCCAAATGTCTCTGCTGCTATCAGGCCCTCATCTCTACAACAGCTTTTGATTGGCTATTCTGCTTATCATCTTGCTCTGCAGCTAATCCACTTGCATTGCCATGCGTGGTCTTTCTCACCACAGATAGGATGGTGTCTCCCTCCTGCTTAACGTCCATTGACAGACAGTCTGTACGCCAGGCCTGGTCTCCAAGGTGTCCACGACCAGTTGGGTCTCTCTTCGCGCCCTCTGCTTCGCGACCTCCCACCACAGCTGCCTGTCCACCCTCTACTCTGGACATCCTGATCGACGTGCAGTTTCCTGAAAGGGCCGTGTTCCCCGAAAGTGGGTCCCTGTGCCCAGAAAGCCCCCCTTGTCTCACCATCTCCTCTAACACCCCACTTAGCCCCCCTACTCTTCCTCCCACCTGTTTGCCTCCAACTCATCCTCTCAGGTGCAGTCAACACCACTTTTTTCCCCAAAAACAAGAAAGCACCTGAGGTGCTTATCATCACTAAGGGGGTGCTGCCGTCCACCTCTGTGGTCCCACAGTCACACTTCTCTGTATTGGGACTTTGTTCCCTCATCAGACAGGTAGCTCCTTGAGCACAGTACCCCGTTTCCTGGTTCCCTGTACAGTACCACCCACGTTACAAACGTAAAATAACGTTTTATGGAAGCGTTGGGATTCTTGGTTGCAAACAACAGAAACCGAGCCTGATAGACTTGGGTGGGAACGAAGCGTGCTGAGTCGTGACTGCTTCGCTCACAGCATTGCCCAGGGAGCCCAGGGCTGGGCTCAGAGCTAACGCACCCAGGAAAAGCCCGACGCACTCCCCAGGCCCACCGTGTGGCTGTCGCCTGTCCGTGGACGCCACCCTCCCACCCCAGGAAGCCCAGCAGCTCTGACTCACCTGGCTTATATGCTGAGCCATGACATGAAATGTCCTGTGAAGAACGAGGTTCATAGATTTTATTTTTAAACTGGAAGATGCAGTCTGGGACATCCAGAAGTGCTGTAGGCCAATACTCGTATTAGTGCTCAGGTGTGCTTGGATGCCGATCGATCATATCGGCTTATTTCCATAATTAAGGAGCCGTAAAGCCAAGATGCATTCATGCACACAATTATTGGTTCACATATCTTTACCAAGAACCTCTCACGTAAAAGTTGCCACAGATTCCCATTTTCCCCGGGGACGGGGCACACGGTCTCCACTTTATAGATGGGTAAACCGAGGCTGGGAGATGCTACGCACCTGCTTGTCTCATGGACTCTCGATTTGCACCTGCTGTGCTGACTTACTGATCAGACCACGCTCTGCAGACTGCCGAGGAGACTGGACCGAGACGAGAGCTCTGGATTGCTGGTCACTGAGTGATCTGTAAGGTCGTTGTTGAGGACCTTGAAGAAACAATTTATTTGATAGGTGCATGTGACAGCCAGAATGTGGAGGGTTAATTGGAAAAGGTTGGAGAAGTCCAGTCGGCCGGTGCAAACTACCCTTTCCAAATGTGTGACAGTAAAGGGACATCACCGACAGGACAGGGGCATGAGGGAAAAACCAAACCACAACCACAGAAGAGGAAGGTTTGGTGGGGCTGGTATTGGAGCCTCGTTGTATGCTGAGCCCACGGAGATCACAGGCTTAAAACCCACAGTGACAAAGTGGTCAGCTGCACTGCAGAGAAACTTTTCTAAAAATTATTTTATTGAACTTTATTTATTCATTCATTCATTTATTTCAATTTGACCAGAGAGGGATAGAGTGAGAGAGGGAGAAAGCAAGCGGCTGGGTCTGGGACTTGAACCACAGTTAGCCATGTGGAAGTCCAGGACCCTTAACCACCAAGCCACCTGCTGGCCCCAAGAGAAATTTTTGAATATACAAAAATAAAGCACCCTCGTACATATACACGCAGGCTTTAGAGCAAGCTGTTCGGACCTCAAAGTCCGGCCCGGCTTCTCCCTACTTAATAGTTTCTCTAAGTTTCCAGAGAGTCTAGTTGTGACCCCTTTCATTACGTTTGGATGTGTCCTGTGCTCACTAGCACGTCAGAGGCAGCCCCTCCTTCTTGTCCCCCATCAGTTACTGCTGTGCTCCACCCAAACTTGGGGTTGCCATATAAAATATGGCTATATTGAGAACATACTAAAACTTGATTCTCTATCTGAGATTTAAATTTAAGTGGGTGTCTTGTTTTTGTCTCCCTGAGATGCCAGTAGTATCTGAAATGAAACCCCTTGTGTCCAATGTGCCACGATAAAACTGGAAGGCCAGAATACAGAGGTAAAACGGTGGATGGTGCTGCCTCCTACTGGTGAAATACGGCAACACCAGCCGTACCCATAAAGACTGTACCCGGCCGTGGTTTTAACAAAACAGCAAGCCACAGTGTTCGTCGTTCTGCTGATCTTTCTGTCTAAATGTATTATTGCCTTTTGTTTTCTCGAGTACCAATGTACTTCTTAGTTATGCGGTTCTACACTTTCTGTCTGGGCGAGTAAAATACGACTGCACACGCAGATCTTCTGGTCCCCTGTTGAATTCCAATACAGCTTTCTCTATTTTAAACTGTGCCCTTCCGTTTCAGTCACTGTTAGGACAGGCATAGTCGTTTTTCTTACAGAAGCGTGGTGTGTTTTATGTGTCATAAACCCTGGCAGAGAAGTCAATGCTCAAGTCATTGAAGGACTGTTGTACGTTGTGGGTGAGATAGTGAGAGCTTTGGGTTGTAGTGGTAGCACGTTAGTATGGAGGCTGATAGGGGAACCCGATGGGGGTGCCATGGACGTAGTCCCCGTAACAAGGACGGACACACGGGGCTTTTCTGGATCACTCTCTGGCAGGAGCTGAGAAAATGCAAAAGCCTGGCTACAGTGTCCCTCTGGATTTGTGTTGTCAGGTGGATGGTCCAGGACTGACCTGCGAGCACTGCACTCCCTTTTGGAGCCAGCCATCTGAAACTCACTGGTGGGGATTTCAACGGTGCCCTTCCCCTTTTTCCTCTCCCTTTCTTTCTTTTTTTTTAGAGAGAGAGAGAGAGATTTTTTGCTATGGGTGCATGTGCTCACCAGAGAGGCAGAGAAAGACAGAGAAACAGAGAGTGAGAAATTGCCCCACTCCCACCCCAGAGGGGACGGCCATGCTGCAATCCCTTTTCCTCCATTCTCCTCTCGGGATCTTGGACATGCATGCACATGCGCTTAGCCTGAATTTAAGTAACCAGACCCGGGACTTGAACCACGGTCAACTACGTGAGTCCAGCAATGTAACCATACACCATCTGTGGGTTGCCCCCTCCTTCTTCACCTGTTTGATTTTAGGACAAGTACCTGTGCCCCTTCCCCAGCAGTTGCATTCATCTGAGATATGCGTGTATTTCAAGCGGCAAGATTCGCCAACGCAGGGCAAGTAGGTCTACCGCTCGTAGAGGAGCACGACTCTGTCTTCAAGCTGAGAAGCCCAGGTCAGGGCATGAGTAAAAGCCTGAGCGCCTGACAGCAAGAACAGTGGTTCTGTTTAGTCCACTTCTGGGTGGAGGCGTCACAAGACAATGGCTCAGGGTTGTTCTCAGTGCTTTTCCTTGTCTTATAGCCATTACGCATCTTTAATTCTATCTGCATTAACAAGAAATCCTGCCTTATTCTTATACAGCTAAGCCTCTCACTTCAGAAATGGAATTGGGATCCAGGATGGAGAAAAATGAGCAATTCCTGCAGAAGCTGGGCAAAAAGTCTCTCGACAAGTGTCTAGATTTGAATAACTGTGGATTGACCGCGGCGGACCTGCGAGAACTGGGTCTGTATGCACTTCCCTCTGTGCAGAGGAACATCGGGTCTTTACGTTCAGATGAGCAGCAAGAACATCGCCAGTTACCCATCCCGGGAGCCAAAGTCTGCTGACTGGCCCCAGACACAGGAATAGCAGCTGCCATTGATAATTTTTTAAAGAATTATTTATTTTAGTTTATTTATTATTATCATTTAAAAGTATACTATAGGGCACCTGTGCTCACCAGACAAAGAGAGAGGGAGAACGTGAGAAAGCAAGTTGCCACATCTGGGACTCGAACCATGGTCAGACTCTGGGACTCGAACCGTGGTTGGCAATGTGGGAGCCCAGGGCCTTAACCACCACAACACTTGCTAACCTAGCCATTGCTTTTTTTTTTTTTTTTTTTTAAGAGAGATTTTTGCTATGCACTCACTGGAGAGACAGAAAGAAAGTGAGTAATCATGCCTCGGAGGGATGGCCACACTGCAATCCCTTCTCCTTTCTCCTCTCAGGATTTTGAGCACACAAGCACACACACCCTGCATGAGTTTCAAGCTGCTGGGTCTGGGACTCGAACTGTGGTCGACCATGTGGGAGTGCAGCAATGTAACCATTACATCACCTGCTGGTCCCCACCATCGCTATTTTTTCTTTTTAAAACAAGTTAATTCAGACTTCCGTGAGCTTTGAAGATTCGAGCTGAGTTTAGAATAAAAGTTCATTTGTTTTTTCCTGAGCAGTTTTACCTTCCTCCTGATTGTCTTTTAATCCTGAAAAAAAAAAGGCTTTTCTTACATGTGATATAAACTCTGGAAACTCATCTATAAAACGGAGCCCAGAAAGAAATGGAAAGGAATATGGTGTTATTGTCTGGGAGGAAAAGCACACAGTTTAACTATCAGAAATTATTACTTACACCCTTTGTACAGAAAAATATACCTACCACTTGTTACACCCCATCAGGAGTTTGCTTGAGAAGAAGCCCATCTCTATACCACCATCACCACCAGCTTTTTTCTTCCTTTTTTCTGATCAAACTTAAATCAAGCTTTTAATCAAATGAACGGTGTTTGCCAACAGAGAACTATCAAACGAATTGCAGTTCGAGTGACAGGTCTTTATTTACCTTAGTCCATTTGGGTTGTTATATAACAGAATACCTTAGACTAGGCAATTTATAAACAAAAGAAAGTTTTCACCATGCTGGAGGCTGGGAAATCCAAGATCAAAGCCCTGGCAGATCTCGTGTCTGGTGAGGGCCCACTTTCAGGCTCCCCAATGGTATCTTTTAGTTGTGTTCTCAGATGGTAGAAGGAGCTGGCTAGCTCTCTTGGGCCTCCTTTTAAGGGTACTAAACCCATTTGTGAGGGCAGAGAGCTAATCGCCTCTGAAAGGCCCCACCTCTTACTACCACTGCATTGGGGAGTAGGTTTCAACACATGCAAACGTTCAGACCATAGCCCTGTAATAATTAAGAGTCGTGCGTTGTATTTGGGACAGGCCTCTTCAGAGAGAACTCTATACCTGTGGTTCTCACAAGCCAGTGTCAGAATCACAGAGCTTGCGGCAACGCAGCCACCTGAGTCGGGACCTCTCAGTGTGGGCCCAGGGATCCTGCTTTCACAGCCCCTCAGAGGATTCTGATGCGAACTGAAGTTTGACTACGGATCTGTACTTTGTGTGTAGCTGTCGCATTTTCTTAATGAGTTTACTAATAGGAAGAAGTCTTGATTTCCTTTATGAATTACAAATATTGAGAGTGAAGTGTTACAGGACAGTGTTTGGGTACTAACTCAATGTTTGGCATTAGAAAAGCAAGTTTTAAGAAGAGCAGGTATCCTAGTGGTTAAGGTGCTGGATTCCCACATGGCTGACTATGGTTCGAGGCTCAGGCCTGGCAGCTTGAAAATCACACCGGGTATATGTACAATATGTACATGCATGCCCAGAATCCTAGGAGGAGAATGGAGAAGAAGGAATTGTCCGGGGGTGAGTTCTCATCTTCTCTCTCACTGTCTTTCCCTTTCTCTGGGAACACATGTGCCCTGTGGCACAACCTGAAAGAAAGAAAGGAAAGAAGAAAGAAAGAAGGAAAAAAGACAGAAGGAAAGAAAAGCAAGTGTTTCCCTTTTCCTTTTTCCTTTGTTTCTTAATGTATTCAACAGGATTTTATACTTGACAAAGTTAGGCTCATGGTGAACAGGATGAAAGTGTGAGAGGAAAACCATTTTTCACTTGTAGCATGGCTTGAGACGTCGGAAGGTCTGGAGTTGAGGGCTCGTAACGCCAGAAGCCCAGCATGCTGCTTCTAACCCCTGCCACCACGTTACCATCCAGGACAGACATTTAACAGCAAGCCAGCAAAGGTGCTTTATCTTCTCCAAGGTGCCATTACCTCCTGCTTCGGGAGGTAAAGACGCCCTTCGAGGGTCTTCTTCACAGAGACCAACTTCAGTCCTAACGAGCAGCACAGAGGCTCAGAGCAGACCCCAGGCCAGCTTTGTGCCCCCTCCCTGTGTTGGTCTGTTTAAGTATAATGGAAGCTTTTGAAGGTGGCAATAGTCAGGTCATTGAGATGAAAAACAACAGAAAAAGACAACAGGCACTCTCTCTGTCACAGTCCTGGCCCACAGAGCATGCCTAGGCCACGCAGCCTGAGGGTCCAGTAGGTGACACGTGAGGTAGGTCACAGGGTTTTGTAAATCAAAGGGTGAGTGTACTCCTCAGGAGCAGTGGCAAAGGAGGTCATGGCATTGCCACCGCTGCTGTTGGCTTCAACTGTTACACGGCAGGGGCAGCCTAGAACTCTCGTGGAGACACTACTGCGTTTTCAGGGTGCAGTTATTTGGCAGAAATGGAAAATACCCCAAGCAATTGGGAAAGTCAGTGCCCCCATTTTCCTAACTGCACAGCTAAGCAATTTCTGCTTTGCTGCAGGTCGGCATCCCCGCCTCATCCCCACACTCCTGTGGTAGAAAGTGGGATCGTGTGTGCGTAGGTGTACGTCCTGTTCACCCCAACCACTAATTACACATACGAATCTGTATTGGCTTCTAGCTGCTTCACTGCCTTTTCTCCCAGACTTGGAGGAATTGGATATTTCCTGGAATGATTTCGTAGGAGGAACCCTTCATTCAATCACTCAACAAATGCATCTTGTCAGCCACTTGAAAATCCTGAGGCTGGGGAGTTGCAGACTTACCACCGAGGATGTTCGAGCACTGGGTATGATAAAAGCTTCTCTCAAAGCGCCCCTTGAAGCACCTTTGTGACCCACCCCTCGAGCACAGACTACATTGCCATCCCTCTGGGTGACCTTGGTCAGGGGCACTGTACCTGCTGCAGTGCTGGGCCGAGCACGAGAACACCTTCCAAAGAGCTACGCAGCCCTGTGTGTAGCACTGTGGGAAGCCTGACGGGTAGAGAAGGGCAGGCTCACCAGGGACCTGTCTCCTGGACTTCAGTGGAGGTCATTATACATATTGCTCCCTCTGGGTCCCAGTTACCTCATTTGTACAGCAGAGGACTTGGAGTAGTCAGTTCTTTTCTGATTCCAAACATATGAGGTGCTTCACAAAGCATGTAGTCAACAATAGAGTTAAAGTATGAGTTTATCTGATACAAAAAGATTTTGAAATCCACGCAGGGCCAGCCAGTAGCATAGTGGGTCAAGTGGCTGGATCTCACATGGCCAACTGTGTGGTTCGAGTCCCAGATTGGGTGGCTTGAAAAACACATCAGGCACAATGTGCATGCATACCCAACATCCAGAAAGGAGAACTGGAGAAGAGATTGCAGTGTGACTATCCCCGCGGGGGGTGCTTCCTCACTTTCTCTCTTCCTCTCTTTCTGGTGAGTGCACACACTCTATAACAAATTTTAAAAAGAAAGAAAAAATCCATGGATAGTCTTTTCATGAGACACACTTTCCATGAACTTTTGTCAAGACCCTCTTGTACGTCTATGTTCCTACCTATTGTAAAACACGTATCAAAACAAGATTTTCAACTAAAAATTTTAAAACTGGATTTAACGAGAACTTCAACTAGTTAGTTTATTTACTGAATATAGAATAAAATGTTTAGAAAGCCATGCTTCTTAGGCAACTAAAATGCTGTACTAAAATGCTTGCTGGTTTATTAGATGTTATTAATACTTAAAATTTTGTTTTGGTCTGAAGTTTCTTACTTTGGTGACTTGTTTTGATCACTTAGATCTCTTTAAAGATTTCTGTAAAAGCAACGCAATCTATGCAGAATATCTCCTCTTTTTAGCATCTCCTTGGGAAATGGAGACCAACGATGTCTCCTGGCCCACCTTTCCTATAGCTGAGGAGAAACGCTGTGCATCTGAGTTGGCCAGATCCCAGTTCAAGTCCTAGTGCCCCTTTTTTATTATTATTATTTTTGGAGAGATTTTCACTATAGGGCGCGTGCGCTCGCCAGACACACAGAGAGAGACATAGAGACAGAAAGTGAGAAATCACCCCCCAGGGGGGATGGTCACGCCGCAGTCCC